AAAAGGGGTGTTGCTGCAACAGGTAGATGCCTAAGCGACTTGCGCTAAACTTGCTTGGGCAAGGAGCGAAGCCTGGGACGGCCGCTGACGACGTGGAAGTTTGAGCATTGCACCATCACAGACATTGGATGGCCAATTCAACTTTCTGCGCCAGACGGGAGTCGCGGGAGGCGGGACAGGCCCTGTCAGAGCTAGACAGGACGGGCGCTTGGTTTTGACATTTCCTGAATCAATGGATCACTCATTGAACCTGAGAGTCGGTCATAGAAAGATGCACATATAGGCTGCATTGATCACACTCTCGATTGGACGTGGATGAACGTAGTTACAAATGCGTAGCAGTGAAATGAGATTTGCGGCTGCCAACAGGCCATGTAAGATGAGCTCCCACCAAGGTGAAAAAGCCAGTGCAAACAAACAGAACTCGATTCAATGGGGGCCCTGACCTCGGAGTTGGATAATGGTAGCAAACGTGTCGCCATAGGAAGGGTTCCAAGCCTTGAGTCTCAATGCAGAAATCATGACTGATCACCGTGCCAAATGATGTGCCTAAAGGAAAGGATATCCCAGCTATGCCTCGGCGCACTCCCTGTTTAAGCGTCTTTCAGGCTCACCTGCCGCATGCATAGTAAATAAATTACCAGCTGTACTAGCACTTTCTCTTCAATAGACGACTGAGCCTCCCAGAATTTCATATCATGCCTCACGCCAAGTCGCGATTGGGGGCGGCACTAACAGCCTCAACCATGGAATATAAGCATTTAGCTTTGGCGGACCACAACATCAATGCTCAACCTGTTGCAAGCACACAATCAAGAACAGACTGTCGGGGGTTCTCCTCGGTACATGGACTAGAATAAGGATCCATTCCGCTTTTCAAGACCGACTGACCGACAACCGACTTCATATCATCAGGCTCATCATCACTGATTATTTGGTGGCTCGGGATGTCTCACAGCTAGACATTCTCTTACCTACATTATGTAAAGTCACAGCAAGCTTCAGCATGCATAAGGACCCCCAAGACGCTAGAGTTCCGGGTATCAATGACCGGGCATGTGGGTTACGAAACTTGTTGTTGCAGGACGCAACCAATTTCCCGGGAGGGCTCCCGGCACGATGGGACGAACGATGTCCTGGGTTAGCTCACCGGCGGCAGCAATAGGGTTACCCATACCTCCGACGGTGGGCTTCGCCCTTGTCTTCCGCATCCGCAACAACGTCCTCCGAGAGATCAGGGAACCTCTTCCGCATGTGGCCTGGTTGTTACTGAGCGTGGAAGGGAATCCAAGTCACCGTCTGGGGACCCAATATATCAGCAAGATAAGTGTTGACAGACCAAGGTAGCTTGTGCCTCTCCAAACATTGAAGGTACGCATACGTAGGCAGACCAGACTCTCGTCGATCAGAGCTCCTCGCAGGGGCTTACGGCCCTCGATGAGTCTTCCGTCCGACGCAATCGAGTTTCAACTGAAGAACACCCTCTCAGTCGACTTCGTCCCAAGATTCCACGTTGGTCGTGATCTGATGCATGGAGGAAAAGGTGGAACCAGAGCCAGAGACAGAGGGGAAATAGAAGAGGGGAAAGTGTCCTACTACCGCCTGCTTGTCTTGCGCTCACCCCGTGCCGTATGGCAGGTGCGGGGTTACTTCCGGGGCTCACAGTGCATTTAATGTTCCTTCCTCAGGTCGTTGGCGCTAGGAGCTGTGATTGCTGTGGGCGTGGCGCAACTGCATGGCCACAGCAGCCCGCATGTGCGCTTCGGCTGTTCATTGGTTCAGCTTCCTAATGTGTCTGATTGGTCAAGCTATGCGCCCGGGCTCCAGTCTCGCCTTCCAGTCGACGACAGAGAATCTACCTAAACTCACCGCAGGTACGTACCGGCTCATCGGAGAGGAAGGCTGGGAACCTGGCTGATTCAGACGTCAAACATTGGTGTTTGGTTGGTTGTCGAAGAATCGACTGCAACTTCAGCAACGATCCAGCGATTTACTTTTACCAAATCAACTTCAATCATCCCATCAAATCGGTTCAATAAGGTAGCTTCGACGGCTCCATTCTCTCTCACTCTCTCCACTGCCGAAGAGTTCACATAATCGACACATACGGAAACGCCTGGCCTCTCTCAGTCTCTTCGACCTCATAATATCAAGTTTGACACATCCCCTTGAATAGCCGACTGTCACCTATTACTGTGTCGCGGCATTTCGACTTGGCATATCGATCCTACGCACTCGAAAACGCGAGCAGCTCGTAGAATATTTGACCATTGAACTCATAGCCAGCGGCGTCACGTCGCTGCAATGGCAAACTCGAAGGCGGCGACTTCTGACTCTGCGGAAGCACTGCATGGACTTATAAACGATGTGGTATGTAAAATTTGGTAATTTCAAATACGTGACTGTAATGGCTGATCATATCCGCAGCTGGTCCAAACAGGCAAGGCACTGAAGTCTCTTAGCAAAGATGGCAGGCATCAATTCCAGGCCCAAGCCTCTTTGCAAACAAAGATGCCAGAGATCATCGAGAGCTTCCACTGGAAACTGGATGATTTGGAGAGCGAGATAGTAAGTCACTCAAGTGAGGTCCCTTTCTTGCGTCTAGTAGTAACACCGACGGCAGATACGGGCCAAGGCTGCCCTACAAAGAGATTTGGATCGTTTTCAGCAGGCAAGACAACCGGTGGAACAGCCTGCGCCAGTCGAGGCGCAGACCAAATCACCCATGGCCATCGACCTCGACTCTTCGTCTCGAGAGCCAACGCCTCCTGAGAATGAACCCAAGATCACGGAGGCTACGGGTCCGCAGAGGGTTCCCGCAGAACCAAGCACAGCACCATCAATGGCTCCGTTCCCTGACATGGGCGTCGGCTTCCAGCCAGCGCCCGAACCCAGTCCCCAAGTGAAGCAGGAGATGACACCAGCACCACCTGCTGCACCACCGGCTATGATGGCCCCTATGGGCGAGATCAAGCAGGAGTTTAAGACCGAGCCGCCAAGTTCGCAACCTCAGCCTTCAGGTGCCCCAGAGGCGCCCATGGACGACTTGTTTGGTCTTGGTGACGACTCTGGAGGCGGTACTGAGGGCAACAACCCAGAGTTCCATTTCACGGATATGACCTTCAGTTTGGCGCCACCCAGCAACGAGGCACCAGACCAAGCCCAGGTACAGGATGCGGCCATGGACATGTCATTCGGCTCCGGCGACATAGGCGGCGACCTCTTGTCGCTCGATAATCTCCTTCCTCCAGATAGCGCTACGAAACAAGAGACTGGTGCAGCCCCGCCAGCCTCGGCAGGAGCAACAGCGTCGGCAGCCAACCAAGAGAAGCCGGTGGAAGCCAAGATGGAGAAGCAGGAGTCCACGAACATCGACGATCTGTTCAACCTCGATGGGAATACAAGCATGGAGAACATGGACCTCGATATGAATATGGGCGGCGACGGGGGCGATGGTAACAGCTTCGATGATATGTTTTTTGGAGACATGACAGAAATGGAGCACGGCAAGTTTGACGATGCCTTTTTTGGAATTCAGTAAATTCGGGGTACCTTCGAATTATTTGTGCCGGCCGACTTGGCTCGGGCTCGCTTTTCTTGCTATTTATGAGGCGTCATGGATGCTTAAAGGCGTCATGTTCGACGCCTAAGCACGGGGAGTAGAAGTTGCCCATTTTAGAAAGTCGACTTGACTACATCCACGCACCGCGAGTGTCATGGGCCACTAGAAAGACCCTTTGAGCTAGCCATTGCCCGGAGATTTCCCAAGCGGAGAACGTTCTTGCAAAACTCCAAGTCAAAGCATTGTGTAAGGAGACTGAAGAGCCGAGCCAATCTATAGTTATGACATTATTCTTGCGTCCTAGTGACTATCTCACGTATAGGCTGTTTTTTGTCCGAATGAAAGACGGGGATCTCTCAACAGACCTAGCTTTGACGGAAGCTTGATCACGGCGGGGTGCGCATCTCGTTTACCTCGAATCAAGCGTCTGAATTGTGACTTGGTTGTTAGTTGCGAGCACAGTCACTTTACTCATTGTTATAAGTTTCTATTGAAGCAATTTACAAAGGCAATGGAGATCAGCACCATTCAGACAGAAAGGATAAGCAGCAGCAGAGCAAGAGGCCGACATTGAATACTAACTCTACAACACTGGTTTCTTGGCAAAGTCATCCATGATTTCCAGTTCCGCACCGGTTTCGGCCAACTCGGACGCACCAGCCTTCATCGATGTCCGCTGTGCGCTGTTCTGCTCCCAGTCGTCTATCTCTGCATCTCTGTATCTTTGGGTACAGCTGCTACGGCGTTGATTCAATCATTCCTGGCTTCCTTGCCGAAGCGCTTGTCGTTGAATGTGTCCTTGAAGCGGTGGGATACATTCTGAGGTGATAAGGATAGATGGTGAATGATGACGGAAAGACAGTTGCTTGAAAGATGGCAAAATCGGTCGTGTTTTGGCAAAGGAGGATGGATGTGTAAAGGTTGTAGTCTGAAGTGAACGACGACCAAATATTTTGAGGAAGTCACGAACGGTCGTAGGCTTGTCTAGTATGAATGAAGGTGCCAATATCCCCTCTGGAGAACATCCCTCCCGTGGTGGCACTTGCTGAGCATATATCCCTGGTTACATCGGGGGTATCTGACGAAGCATGAGAACCATCAACAAAGCTGTTATCTTCGAGGCTGCCCTGGGTAAGACAACAGCTAGACATCGACTTTAACTTGCATACGTCGGAAACATGAGCGAATTTGCATTCTTCAACTTCTGTTTGACATGGTTCTCTAGTATACCTACATAGGCCAATTTGGTATCTGTATTGTGTCGTAATATAATGCCGTGAAGGATTCCTAGTACATGCCTAATGCTGCCATGCAAATGCGAGAAATTTACGACAACTGTCACCCCCGCATCCTGACATCCCAGTGGAGAGGGAGCCTTGTAGTCGATAAGTCAACCCTCGTAGGCCAAAACCTCGGCTTCCTCGTGGCCAATTTCAATTCATGTCTCTTGGGCGAGGCCTTCGGCGCCCGTAGCTGAGCTAGTCCCCAGCATCAGAAGATTCTGCAGTCTGAGAGGGACCTGAGCGGCCGTCAATAAGGGCCCTCCTGAAAGTTTCTGCACCTTAGCCCGTCTGTTTAATTGTCTAATAACAAGCAAACGGGGGCAACAATGACATCCACACCGAGTCTCTATAAAGGAACCCTTACAGAGCGTCTGAATCGGTGCGGGAAAACTCCAAACAAAAGGGCGCAAAAGAAGAAAGCATCGGGCAGGGATTACTCACCACCTGCTTGACTCCCATTCCAAAATCCAGCCGCAGCAGATCTTGAGTCGCTCTCTGACGCTTCGTGTTTCCAAAAGTTTGTACTTCTCGTATTCCTTGGCTGGCAGGATGCTGGCAAACCACCAAGGAAAAAGTGCCGGATCGTTGGGGCATTCCCCATAAATAGCCAGCATTCGTTGTGCCAGCCACGGCACGCTTTGTTGCCTCATTCTCTGCACAAAGGAAACACCCAAGGACAGAAGGTCGCTAGTTGGCATTGTTGAGAGATCCTCGGGGGTAGTCGTAAGTGGTCTCGGCAAACTCGAGTCTTCGCTCTGATGTGTAGCTGCGCTTTCGTATCTTTCTAGGGCATGTTGTGTCTCGGTTGCCTCTAGATCTTCTTCCTCCGCGATCGATATGTCGTCAATCCGTTCAATTTTCCCCACCAAATATCCATCCAAAATGCCATGTCTGGTTATTCTAAAGCGTGATATGCCAGATGTCTCGATCAGGCTCCTGCCGTCTGCAAAGTACTCGGCGTTCACAATGCGTAAGAGGGTTCCGTATTGTACAAAGTGTGTGTCGTTGGCTGTCCGGGGTCGTTGAGGTAGCACCATGCCGAAAGTTCGGTCGCCCTCCAAAGCTCGGCGTATCATCAGGCGATAGCGCGGCTCAAAGACATGGAGAAAGGTCGGCATCATTGGAAACGACAATGTGCAGACAAAAATAGGAATATCAAACTCCCGATGTCTGTTCATTGCTTCCGCCGCCAAAGCATCGCCTCTTGTGAGAACGGCATCGGCCCAAAAAGTCTGAATGATGGTTTTCAGACTCTCATTTGATGGGCATGACTCCTGGTATAGCAGAGGGCTAACTGACAACCCTCGTCGACAAATCGGACAGTAGGAGGAGTGGTCCAACACGCGGTGTAAGCACGATCGACAGAAAGTGTGGCCGCAAACTGTCGTGAGAGGGTCGTAAAACAAGGCATAACAAACCTGGCAGTCCATTTCCGTGCGTACAGATTCCTTTACTTTGGAAAATGTCCTTGAGTCGATTGATGTAGCCTCATCTCCGAGTGACGAGACTTCGGCAAAAGTGACGGCTGAGTTGTAGTCCAACTCGCCTGTATCTGCCAACGTATAGACTGCGAGCAGGGGGCCTCCTTTCACAACCCTCGCCACTTTTGCGTTGTCGTCCCTCATATCTGACTGCTCAGCACCTGAACTGTTGATGATGACATGCGTGGAGATCTCGGCTTTGGTGCTCGTCTCTTTCGCCTTCTCCATCTCAGACTTGAAGTTGTTGACTGCCTTGGTGAGAATGACATCAACGCCACAGTCGCCCACGGCATGGTTCTTCCCACATTCCACATAAGGGCATTCGAAGCCTTGTAATCTATTTGGCGTGGCGGGATATGATATATTTTCTCGAGTGTGTGTTTCTGGGACACATTGTTTACAGAGGCTTCGACCGCAAGGAAGTGTAATTGGCTCTTGGAGAAGGTGGGAGCATTTTCGGCATTGTATCAGGCGAATGACTCCTCGAATTTGATCGCCCTCCAGTGGCCGTTCGACAGTGCCATGATCCTTTTCGTCCTCGGCTTCGTGTACCGGGTTGGACGTGAGGGCCGATGGTCTGCTCTCGACGACTCGGGGTTGGTCGGAGGACATGAAGCCGTCTCCACCAGCTCGGTGCTGGCACAGCTTAGGTAGATGTCTGTATGAGTTCGCGACCGGTTCGTTTCGTAAATGACCTTTTCTTCCCTAGCACGATCCTGCTCTCGTGGTGTATAATGGACGTGTCGTCGGTGAGTCGAGATAGTTAAACGAAGCGCCGCCGAGGTCGAGTGGTGGAGGATGGCTATGTATTTCGTGTAGCCACCTGAGCGTATGTAAGATCCAGCAAGAAAGAGACGGGGGGACAGTGACCAGGGGTCATATATGCGGGATCACCAGGGCTGCAGAGGTTCCAAAAACGAGCGGATCTCATGATGCGCCTGAACGAGATCAAAAGCGGACAGGTGAAGAGAGACCGGCAAAGCTAGTAGACCGAGGGCCGGAGCTAGAAGCTGGAGAACTGGCGGGATGCATGTACCGAGCCAGTGTCTGTCGCATAAAAAGAGTACGTTTGGGGGCGCGAAGGTAATGATGGTGGATAACAACTGGCAGGCGTCATACATTTAACGTCGAGTTACCAATTCGCTGGGCGGCTGGACGGTTTAGGAGGGGTGCGTTCGGGGGATGGTGTGGCCGTGCAATGAGGTCAATGAAATTAGAGAGAAAGGCAGAGGTGGGCTACGATTGGGGAGCCATGGGAGCGACATCTCAGCAACAAGCAGGAAAGAACAATGAGAGGAAGCAGCAAGAGAGCCGCCCCCAGACAGCGCCAGGCCCGGCGGTCCTTGTCGAGATTCCAAGGTCATGTCAAGTACCGGTACAAGTTGCGAAGTTCGCGGCAGGCGACGACGCATGGGCGGGCTCTTGTGGCTCTTTCCCAGATGCCCTGGACGGGGCCCCTTGCGTCTAGTCGGAAAAGGGTTTAGCGGGCTGTTGTCAGTAGCCAAATTTCTAGGCTAGTTGTGACGACACTTGGAGTCTTGGACACCACGGGGTCCAATAGAGACGGGCGAGAGAACCTGAAGCGTGAGTGCGAGAACGGGAGACCGATTGGGACAACATGGCTCAATCAGTTTTTGTTCTCCGTGCCTAGTGCATTTTCTTTCTAGATTTTCCCTTCTCAACGGCTGCACGGCGGGCTGATCGACTGTGGGCTTGCCTTACCTTGGAGCTACGAGCTGCCTTTGGTTTTTACCGGCACTAACTGTTCTTCTGATCTGCAATTCCCAGTAGCTGGAAACTCTGTAATATTTGTGGAGCAGTATTTACGCACATTTAAACTCGGTAGATGTCCTAGATCTTCAGCTCATCTCATGTGCTCAAAGACGCTTGATCGGGGTGTTTTTGCCTCTTGCCTCGAATTGATGGAGGGGTCGACTGCCTGATTTGTTTCGAGGGAGCCTTAGAACCTAGACAACCTGCCTTGTATTATATGAGTTTTGCTGTCGGACACTGTCAATTGGTACTTGCAGGTTTACAGAGAGACGGACCTGTGGTATGACGCAATTCAGCATCTTGTTGCCCCTCTTTTGGATATCTGTTCTGCGGGCTTGCTGGAAGGTGCACACGCGCTGTCGGGACTGCTTACCTCAGCAAGACATGAGACAACACATGCCACGTGATGTTCGGAGGATGGCCCGCCTCCACGAGTCCCTCCCGTCTGCTCTTGTCTGTTCTGGTCCGAATCCCGGCCGGGATGCTTTGCAGGGTAGGCGATCTATCGACTTTGCGGCAAGACACAAGCAATCTCTCGTATGTCGTGGGAAAAGATTCAGTAACCGTAAATATGCAAGGGACTCTCCATCTCCCCAAACCGTCCAACCAACAACTTCCGAAAGGCCAAAACCCGAAATACCACTGTGGCCGGCAACTTACGAGTACGACTGCCACACCGCAAAATAATACCACGTACCTAGGTATTCGTGGCGGCCGCAGCCAGATCTCGATGCGGACGAGACCCAGGACCCTGACATCAGCAAGCAGGGCCATTCACCACGCTTCATCCATGCCGACAAGTACCGCGACTTCGCGAGTACCGCTGGGCGGACGCCTCTGTCTCTCATCAGGGAAACTGGAGGCAACAATGTGCCTGTGGCCCGTATTCCCACACAAAACTGCGTTTTTTCCTTCCACCTCGATGCTTGAGTCGGACGAAGATGAGCCTTCTGGAAAGTGATCGCAACTGCTTTTAACGATCCCGCTCGGTTCTATTGTGGCCGGCAATCGGCGCTAGCGCCTGCACGTACCCAAGACAGCGCAAACATGCCCGGGCAAGCCAGGGTCCAGCGTTTTTTCCAGCGCCTTGTTCGCTGCCGCGCCCACTCAGATGCAGCTCAGCTTCTCAGATCCAGTGCGTCATGACACTTTGGCTACTTTTCGCCCCTGCCTTTCACGCCCGCTGCTTTCTGTACCTCTCGCTCAACATTGAAGTTCTGGACTTGTTGGCTATTTTCTTCTCGGCAATCTAGGCAATAAGTCGCCCTATTAGGTCTGAGAAGCGCAGAACTGACTTATCCTTCGGGCGACCGTGTCTCGGATGTCTCCCTCTCAGTCTCATGAGCATCTGCAACATGACTTTTTGCCCAACTCGGTTTCAGCTCTGGCAAGTCCTCATTGGCCCTAGACCTAGTCCTCGATTCCCATAATTCCTAGTCCTGGTCCTGCTTACTAGTCGTCAGCCTCGGGTCTTGACTCTTGACTGATCGCAGTCCTAACACTACTAGACAATGGGGCTGCTCATCGCTCACGAAGCCTAACAAATGTAAGTAGTGCCCCGAACAACTAGCCTCTTTGGTCGAAGAACGCAGACAGCAGGATCTCGATTCAGCCTTGCTCAAGCAATGTAGTGGCGTAAAGTCATGAGGCTACTCACATACCGCTCGCTTCCTGCGCACTAGCCAGCTGTTGAGCTTTTCTGCGGTTGCCACTCTGCCAGCCGGTCGTGCGCCTGTCCCTGGCCACAGACGCCTTGCGTGGCCGTTGTCGCCGCCAGCCATCTTCACCTCACAGATAGTCAATGTTGCCGGGACCGCGGGGCCTGACTTGCCAGTACTAAGCGTGTGTTAGACGCGCTACTACCTTACGAGGCAACGAGAGTCGTTTGATGGCTCGAGTTCGACTCTAGAGTAGCGCAATTCGCACTACACCTATGCCCGGAATAGAAGTGCGAGGCGAAAATCTATCGAGTATCACATCCTTCAACTGTTCCGCAGTTTTAGCTTCTCATTGGGCGTTGTCGACTAAAATCCTCAGCCACTGGGGATAATATATGTGACAAGTAATCACTATCACTGCGGGCGTAAGTTGCTGTAAGACTGTTGTTACACCACAAACTTTCATCTCCTTGGTCGGAAAATCTGCATAGCTCGGCCAGAAGAGAACAATGTCTCGGTACCACGAGAGAAAAAGAGAAGTACCAAGGCATGCACGAACTAGGCGCCGAAGTTCTCTAAGAAATTGGGAACCAGTCGGCTTCGTGGCTAATACCATGTTGCATATACTGTATGATGTTAGTCTCTGTGTAACCACGCAACCTACCTTACCTTTCTTGTCTGTAACGAGATCGTCATATGGACTCAGCAACTGAGCTTCCAGTTTCAGAGCAGATCTTCGGTGCTGTACCAGCCATTTGAACCCATGTTTGCCCATCAACCCCTCGAACCCCTCCATTCTACCCATCTCAAGGGTAGATGCCGCCATTTGAACCCCACTCGCTATTCTTCCCCTCATCAGCCAAAAAAACGCAACCTAATTCGAGTTGAAGCTGTGGCTTTCTTCTGCCTTTTGGTTGCCCAGCCGAGTCTGTGCGATTGGAAAACATGCCACAATAACGCGGCAACGCGTTCCAAACCCTTGCTTACCCTCACCGACAACTCACAGAAGAGGAAACTTTCCATGTGACAGTTTGTTGACATTGAGGAAGCTTTCGGAGGATTTTTCCTCCCAATTCTCTCTCACTTCTTCTTTTCTTTACTCTACCAATTGACCGACATTTGCGGACTCTAGTATCTTTGCTATAGCTTTCTATCCAAAGCCAAGTCTGGAACTCTCATATTCAACAGCTTTACTTATCCTACACCGCAGCTCTTCTCCTCCCGCTTGCTTCACTTTCCACATCGGCGTTGAACATACTTCCCCCTACGTCTTCCCTATCTACCCATCATGTCTTCCCTCAGCCTCCCCTCCCCCGAGCACCGCGCCAAAATCATTGAAAAGTTCACGGAGCTCATCGACGCCATCGAGGCCCACCCGGCCTGGAGCCCGCCGAACCCCCACAAGGGTCTTTTCCACGTCTGGGACTACGTCAACCGCTCCCGGTACATCATGACGGAGCTCGACCACATCCGCGACGGCGAGCCCGTGCGGTATCCGGAGCAGATCCCTCAGCAAGATATCGGTTAGGACCATTTTTGTTTGTTGAAATGGCATGACGCCCGCCTAGGTTCCAGTCCCTGCACGTGTTGTCCCTTTTCTTGTCGACCTCTAATTGAGGTCGGAAAGAGATGTATTGTCGGACCCCGTACCCGAGCCCACCCCCCCCCTCCCTCCGAGCGGCGCAAGTGCGCGCGCGCGGGGACCAGGCCGGCGGCACGGAGAAGTTGGAGTGTGGGAGGAGTACGGAAACGGATAAGGAGGAGGGGGGGGGGGGAACCAAGAAAAAAAGAGGAGCCCAAATCGCTGACATGGAGAGTAACACTCCCAGGCGTACCAGGTCGCAGCGGCCCCGACGCAGCCGCCGAGTCCTTTGTCGACGTCTGCGGCCGATCGGCGACGGTCAACGAAATGATTGCCAACCCGAAGCTGCTCACCATGATTGGTCTCCCGCAGGTGGATTACGGCAACGATATTGTTTTGAGATCGCAGGCGGTTGTCGATGTCTTGAAGCAGGCTATCTGAAAGAAAAGAAAAAGAAAAAGAAACCGGTGGTGTGGACTTGGAAGAAGGAAAGGGGTTACATCGTCGGCACACATTGGAAAGGCAAAAAGAAGCGAAAGAGATTGATTTGACATTGGCCGGGTTTGCCGTCAAGAAGCTTGAAAATATTGGGAAAATTTGAAATTACTACAATTAGAGGCAAATGCGGGAAAAGTAGAAGGATACACCAAACAGTGAGACGAAGAGCCCACTTCAGAGGAATACTGCAGTCAAACCTGACTGGTACGAAGTCGGCTTTATACACGTTGGAAATTGATACATCGAGATCAGAAGGCTTATTCACTCTTTTTTCTGTGCATTCGACGGACGACAGGACGGATGATGGCAGCATCAGTGTGATGATATGAGTTGGAAACCTAGTGTCGTGGTCTCAAACACGAAAAGGTGCACCGGGGCTATGCATGGCTTATTACCAGCGACAGCCGCTTAGCAAAGCAGCATTTCTCGACGCTGGGAATATCATTACGCTATTTATACCAAATACAGTTCAGAATACACCCCTGGAATGGATATTCGTATCCATACGGATATGCCCCTTTTAACCGTTTCCAACCTTTCCAAGAATACAAAGCTTAGGAAACACTCATGACCCGAAATGATACAGTTTCCATCATGACAGACGATCTTGTCATCTGGTACCAGCCCATCGGCCACGTGCAGACGCCGACTTGTTCAACGCCAATCGTCTGCCAATGTTGCCAAAGCAGACGCAGCTGCAGAACAAAACACTGAGCATCCAAATGCCCGTCTCAATAGTTTCTTGGCTCGCGAGCCCACCGAGAGCGATGGGCTCCGAGTAGGCCCGCTCCGACTCGTTCCGGTAGGTCAGAGATGATGGTGTAGGCATCACATCTGGGTTGATGCCGAGGAGTACAGCCGATCCCGCCAAGCCCACAGCGGCCGAAAGCAGAAACCCAGGTTTCGAACGGTCGATCAAATACCACAGAAATGGGTTAACCAGCGCCAAAGTGAGAGACACCTGGAGGGTAGATGCCCAGGGAAGTTTTCGCTGCCCACTGTTAACTTTTCCAATTCGAAACTCACTTACACACGAATACACTTACAATGGCGAATACAATTCCAACAAAAGCGCCTATGCTGCGGACAACCACAGCCCAGTCCTTTACAGGGCTGACATCTTCTGGTGGTGGGCTGCCGTTCGTCTCCTCCAAAACTACCTCCTCCTTTCCAAACGTATCCTCCCATACGCCATCGAACCAAGGGAGGAGGCCGCCTAGGCCAACGCCAGACAAGCCCCATAATGTAAGATACTGCCAGTCATAGCCGGGCTTCATCATACTGTCGACCTGGAACGATGAGAATCTGTGCTCATTTTGCAACCTCGTGACCATTAGTCCGTATCCCATGCCAATCACAAAGAGAAGTGCAATGCGGGACAGGTTGAACAGGGCCGTGGTTGTTGTTGAGGGCGGCGGAGTCTTCGATCCACTTCGATACGAGGGCCGGCGACGCAACAGATTGGAGCGATCCTTCATGAGCTCGAATGTGGTGTCGTCAACATTGGCCCTCTTGATAGGTGTTTGCGCCCCAGTACCCCAGGGGGTATCCGGCTCATCTCGCGAGTCTCTGCCGTATGTGGTTGGCGAGTAGATCCCAAACAGCGTCGACGCGGTCATGTTAAGTACCGACTGGGCGCGAGGTATGGAGCCGGACTCTGAAGACGTTGTTTGGGCATTGTGCAGTCTCGACAAATCGAATTCAGGGTTCGGACTGGGGGAAGACGAGTTGTCTTCTGGAGGAGTCGGAGCAATGTGATTTAGTTCGAAGGGACGGCGAGGGATAGGCCTTATAAGACGGGGGCCGTCGTCGGACATGTTTGTAGTTCGTGGAGTAGCGGGGAAGAGAGGGAAGCGTTGGAGACTATAGGACACAATCAGTCAGAGAGCTAGTCGGCGAGAGGGTGTAGGGCTTAGTTATGTGCTCACAATAAAAGCGAGGGTGTAGGCTCGGGCTCCGGATGGCAGCGAGGTTCAATGTCTACGTATAAGAGTGCCCAGACGGTCCCCGCATTCGACTGTGCGGAAGGTGTTGTTGTCGTCACAGGTTAAGTTCAGACGAGGAGGGAAGTGTCTCGCCTCACGTGGGCTATGGGGTTTGCCTTGAGCTAAGATGATGAGAAATTCGGACGAACAGAGGTAGGTAGAGGAAGATTGGAAGAGTCGTGGTTGTGTAGTACTATAAGCAGCCAG